AGAATAATTGCAAGTAGTCCCTGTAGCCTTAGCCTTCCTTTAAAAGCAGTCAAGGGGCCCATAGCCAATGTAAGAAGTAAATAACATTTGCTCCTTTTTTTTTTCTTAATTATTTTATACATGGTAGAGTTTTAGATTATCATATGTGCCAATACATTAGGAAAAGGCGTTTTACATTCTGTAATATTACTGTTCTGTGTGTGCTGAGGACATTATTGTAATATATTCCTTCATTATTAGGGAGCTATTGGAATGAATGTATTTACAGTCAGTTCCCAGTTCACTATACCAAGCAAAGTTCTGGAGGTTAAACTCATAGTGCTGAGATGGGGGATGGGCTAGAAGTGAACCAACCACCATTGCCCACACTCCTGGCAGCAGGGATACTGCCCTTCAAAATACTCGTGAAAAAGACTCCAGGTTTCTGAATCACTTGGTACCTTATGGAAAACATGCTGGCTTGTGATTGTACTTTATGTAAACATTTTAATATAGAATCCCTAAAATCCAGGGGCTCCCCGAAGGGGATTAAAGCTAATCCCCTTTCTCTACCGCTGCAGTGGATTAACTGTAGGCTCTCTGGCTGCTTTGCTCCCCGGAGGCTACAACAAAAAGGCCCTGTGCTGCTCCTACAATCTACGGAATTGGGAGTTGTAATTGGAGATTTGGCGGGGGGGGGGTGGGGGAAAAACATCCTTCTAAGGTTGAATGTTTCGTGATGTGTCTTTCTTAAATCCTTTTTATAAACTCCCAGAAAATCGCAACTCAATAGAAAGAAATTGGAGTAGAATCAAAAGGAAGCGCAGCCACGTTTTAGAAATGTTTTACAAGCTAAAAACTCCAGAGCTGTGTATGTAAAATTCGTGCTGTATTTCAGTAAAAAACGAGTATAGCTTCGTTAACTCCTCTCATGATCTTTTCTGCTTTTTCAATTTTCCAAATTTATTATTTGGATGTTAAATTGCTTTTTAGGAGAAGGATGCGGCTCTCCATTTTTAATATTTTAATGACTGTTTTCCTCCAAATGTCAGACATCTAAAAACCCAAAGCGAGCTCGTCGGTGTTTAGAATGTGCTCTCCTAGGTTGTTTTGATGGTGGTGGTGGTGGTGGTGGTGGTGGTGGTGGTGGTGGTTTGTCTTTTGCCAAGCCCAAGTTGTTTAAGACACTTTGTTTCAGATGTGAATACAAGGAACGTTTCAGAGGGAGCCAGGAAACCCGCGCCGGTTGCAACGCTGCGGTGGCGCAAGGGTTAAGGGAGCGGCTCGAACCCGCGGGCTGGAGCGGGGGAGAAGAGGAGGGCCCCGGGGGCTAGAGGCGCCGGCTAGCGCGGACCCTCCAATAAACACAAAGGAGGGCCTGGGGAATAGAAACCCAAATCCACTTGTAATCGTACAAGAGATTCGGGCATAATTACTTGAGCAACCTAGATTAAGATTGATGATCCTTTAAAGTAGCGCTCCAGACCGGCCGCCTCGCCCCTTGGAAAAAAAAAAAAAAAAGCTTCCCACAAGCCGCTGAGGACCCAATTCCGCTGGCCGCACCAGGAGTCCGGGCCGTCTTGCTAGTCTGCAAGGCAGTGGGACCGCTGAAAGTGACCCCACTTAGTCTATGCGGGCCGAACTCTGAAAACCCTACCAAAGCCGGCCTAGGCCTTGGTCCTCTGCATCCCCTCCGAAATAGCGGGACTCTGCGAGTCCGCTGGCTCCAGAAGCCTTCCTGGCTCTGGCCGGGGCCTATCTGCGTGGCGCGCGCGCAAGACTCCCCCTGGTCGCCTGTCTCCTGCTGTGTACAGCAGCTAAGGGCGGGCATTAATGACTGGATTCTGTTGCTTGCTCCCAAGAACCTAAAAGACATCAACAAAGCCCATATTATTTCTGAATTACGTGTGGTATGTTTAGATCAATATCCTTGAGAGGGATTTCAAGTTCTTGCCCCTCGAATCAGTATTCTAATTGAGAAAATTCAAGTGAGCACTCCACTCGGGTATGCACACTTTGCAAAAAATCTATTAACTCCTAATTTCTCTGAGTTTAAAGCTGAGAAATTGCACTTTACATCGACTTTTCCAAAAATGGTTTTGTTTCATCGTTTTTCTCACATGTTCATCTTTGGTGTGCTCTGGTGATAAAACTATGACCAAGGTTTTATTTCCTTCATAAGAATCCTAGTTAGCTTTGTACTCACACCAGTGAATGTATCCCACCTTAGGACACGAACATTGAAACAACCCTTCCTAGCGATTGTGATTTGTATCTTTAGCCGCTTCTCCCCCCCCCCCACACACACACACACTTTTTTTTTTTTTTGTCACCCCTCCTTGGGGTAGAGCCGCTAGCTACCAAAAGGATTGGCTTGTGAGATGGTTGGTCTTTGGGGTCATTACCCACTGCCTAGTGTCTCTTGGAGAACTATCGATGTTCCTTGAAGAAGCAGGGCACCGAAGCATCCTTTCTGCTCTGCACTTGTTAAGTCGGATAAAGGCAGTACCTCACCAACCATGTGGATTTCTAAGCAGAGGATGCAAACTTGCATGTTATGAGTCTATTATTCAACACTCTGAACTCCTCAGTTTTTATAGAATTTCTCATTTTAAGGTACCATATAATTGCTAAACAGACTTTACCTAAAATGAAAAGACCTTGCATAACATAACTATGTCCTCTGGAAGGGAGTTTGATAGCATCAGAGAGGCCCAGCCTGAATCACTGCCCCTGTCTTGCAGGCCCTGTGGTTCTCAGCACCCCTGCCCAGCTCATCGCTCCTGTGGTGGTGGCCAAGGGAACTCTCTCCATCACCACAACAGAAATCTACTTCGAGGTAGATGAGGATGATGCTGCCTTCAAGAAGATCGACACAAAAGTGAGTTAGAGTGACTGAACAGCATTGGGGACTCTGATGGCAGGTTGTGGTTTTCAGTTTTGCTTGGTTTTAAATGACTGGAGAGGGACCCATTCTCATCTTTCTCACAGAAAATAAAACGAATGAAATAACACATGATTTCTTTCAGAATTGAAGATTGTATTAATGAGCTTAAATCCTAAGCATAAATAGCAGAGCATGATCATTTGAGCAGTCTTCCTATGTGCCTTTGTGTGCACTTATTTTGTGTTTAAGGCAGTTGTTCCGGGATCCATGGGGCACAGTGTCTCAGTTCCTGGGAAGACGAGGACAGGTCTTGTGAAATTTTGTGTTAATATCACATTTAATTTCCAAAAGTATATACTACAATATGAATTATTATTTATTGAAAGGTTATAAGGAAACTGGGGCAGGAGTCATTTACATATAATTTCATTTTCATTATTAAATCCATTTTTCATCTCCTGAATTAAATGGATTTTACATATGGATTTAAAAGGAAGGGAAAGAGATTCTTTGTAAGCTTTGATTTAAATGTATATACACAGCATACACTAGTACTCACATGCCATCCCAGAAGCTGCACATTTGGAGCGTTGGAATGTCATACATGTTTGCTAAATCTTATCTTGTGGATTTAGCCTCCATGACCATCAGAGAAACCCTACAGCCCAGCACCTTTCCAAGATGCATTTCTCTAGTTTCATATTTATGTCACTGTAAGGTTTGTAAATTTCTTCTGAGGGTAAGAGGTTGAGATAATAGGGTATTCTACTGTAGCTTTGAAAATATCTTCCTTTAAGTCATTTCAAATCTGTTCTAAAATAGGTAGATTTGAGCCTTATTATTTATATTAAAGATATACAATAAATAGCATATTATAGAACATTATTTGTAAATGAGCAAAGGAAACTCTAAAGTTTATGGCCAACTGAATTAGCTAATGCAGAACCTTAGTCTCAGGCCTCTCAGCACTTGTTGATCAGTGAGATAGCAGCAAAGGACCCTCTCACTTCCAGCTTCTAAAGCCATGGGGTGTGTAATGAGTGAGTGTGCTGTGTTTAAACAAGTAACAACTTGTCTTTATAGTTTGCCATTAGCTTCCTCTGTGTAGTAAGAATGAATTGTGGTTTTCTGATTTACTCTAATAACAGGTTGATAACGTATATTGGTTAGATTTCATATATAAAATTCAAAATTTTATTGTGATTTTAAGTCAAAAATTCTCAGAATTTGATGCTTTTAAGCTTAGTAATCTCTATTGCCATGATAGATTTTTCCCCCTATATTGTCAAGAAGCTACAGAAATACTAACCAGAAGTAAGTCTCAAAAGTAGATTATAAATGTGTCAGTTGTAGAAAAGAACCATGTAGTAATTTAGGAACTGAGGGAATGGATATTTTCTATAGCTACTTAAAAAAGAACCCATGTAATGTGTATTTTTAAGTGATTTTATTACCCTGTCTGTCAAAATATTTAAAATATTCCAGTTGATTTTCAAAAGGAAGCATTGCCTCTTAACAAAAAAAAAATTAAAATGAGACACAACAGTTGGGTATTTTACTTCATTTATTATCTTCTAATTAAATAAAAATCAGCAACAGAAATTAAAATCTAAATCACAAAAGTAATTATCCAGTGTATTTCAAGTGCATTTTTCAAATATATATAATTCAGATATTCAAGCGTTAATATATAAGCTGAATTCAAATTTCTTTGAATATATTTAAATAACATTTCAAGTATACTTACGGAATGTTAGAACAAGCAATATATTTGAAAGAAAATGTAAACTTTTTTTTTTAAGTTCAGACACTTCACAGACAGGTAAAGTACCAGGAGGAAATCTACCTTTAAATGCATCTCTGTTTGTGGAAAGTGTCTGGAAGTTTCCAAATGACAATTTCAGTTCTGTTTACCAAATCACAAAACACCAACATCCACACTTTCAAAGACAACATGAGATCACAATTTTTGTTACAAATCAAAATATACATTACACGCTCCTTCCGATCCTCCCGATGGCCCATCCAGGTCCCGTTTACTGGAAGGCAGATGTGCATAAGTCTCAGGATTGTTGTCATCCTTGTTGCCGGCTGGCTGTTCTTGCATTGTTGCAAGCTCTTCTCGGGTTTTGTGTACTTTCCAGGGGAGATGGGAGATGCCTGTGTGGTATAGGTTTTCCCGTTTCCCTACTCCATTCCCTCCTCTTTTAGGGATGTGTGAGATGATGTGTAAATGTTGTGCTGTTACTCCTTTTAAAGGAAGAGATTTTTTTTTTAATTTTTGCACTGTCTCAGGAAATACTAAATAGGAATCAACCAGGAAGTTTTCGTTTCGTCGGGACATTGAGAAGAGTGATCTTGTCGGCTGGATTAGGTCATCCTCTAGAGTTTTTCCAAACTTTTTGGGTTGGTCAGGATCTCTCTTGCAAGTCGCCACGTTTGTTTAGCAGCGTTTTCCAGAGCTGAGTGCGGTTTGCCTTGAAACAGATCTAAGTTTGGTAAGAAGTAGTGGGGACACCGCCGGCACTGCAGGCATGAGATGAGCTGCAGCAGAATTCCATTCAGCCGGTCGCCCAGGCAAGATTCGTCCCAGTCCGACTCCCGGGGATGCTTCTCACACTCATAGGACACCAGAGTTTTCATGTGGTAGTTGTTGAGGGGCTGTCCTGGCAACTCCAGGTGGCGGTCGCGTAGGGTTTTCAGGATAGAGAGACATTTCTTCCTGCAGCCCCCCATTTGCAGTCTGTTCTCAGCCTCTGCAAACTGCAACACCCAAGCATCGCTCTCCGCGGAGCTCTGCTTGCCGGCCAGGGAGTGGCACTCCTTGGACAACAAATTGAACCCTTCGGCCTTGACCTCTGCCACCCGGTTGGGTCCCGGCCATGGGATGTGGGGAAGCGGCCAGTGGGCAGCACTCCGCGGCCAGATTCCCGTGCATTTAAAGGCCGGGGTGATCTGCACCACGTACCTATCGCGGATTCTCAGTTTCACTTCGCTTGTGTCAGCCACCATCTTTACTACATCTCTGTAGCTACACTTATCCACTGCCTGAGCCACCAGCGTCTGAAACCTGGAGCGGATTTTGCGTGCTGAGAGGTAGCCAGAGGCGGTGATGAATTCTACCCAGAGGGACATGCTCCTCTTGCGACCGTCGCTCAGCTTCAGCACCGCGCAGCCAGGCAGCGAGCCGTCGTCCACGAAGTTAAACACCCCCATCTGGTTCAGATAGAGTACCACCTCGAACTCGGTGGGAGAGATGACCTCCAGGCCCTCATAGCGGTTGTCCATCTCGTTGAGGGAGCTGATGAAGCGCGGTTCCTGCACCTCCACCTCCTTCAGGACGTCGGATACCACTTTGCAGACTTCCCGGATGGTTTTGGCGATGGCAGCTTTCCTGGCTTGGCATTTCTCGTTGTAGTACTTATTCAGGTGGTAGACCAGCTTTGCCTGGGCCGCGATCATGTTGGGGCAGAGATCCGGATTGTACACCGGAGTCTCACAATAAGCTGTGGGATCCAATGCGGCTGCTAGTGCTGGAGCCAACTTCGGAGGTGAAAGGGGGCCACGCGTAAAAGGCACCGAGCCTCTCTCGGAAAGGATGCAGAAGAGGCCGCCCTGCCCGGCGGGCCTTTTATCCGCGAGCCTAGTCGGTCTTAAAGTGAAAGGCTGCACTCTCCTACTTTCTCCTCCGCTAAAGAATCCGTGTCTGGGAGAGACGCGTGGAGAGATCACCTTCTCAGTAATAAAAACAAAAGTTGCGCTGAATCCCAGCAAAGCTCTTCCAGTAGTCAAAATAATCACCCTTTGCGTATTTATTTAAGTTTTCCCGTAATCATGTTGTGTGCAGGACTGTTAATCAGAAGGAGGAAAAGTGTGCCGAGTGTGTGTCGGGGTGAGTGTGTGTCTGTCAGAAGAAGCTGCTGTTGGTTTGTGTAAAAGCCCAGATGCACTCGTGTGGAAATTATAAAGGCAGGGCCAGGCAGGCGGGCGGCCAATCGCCACTGGGCTCGTCACGACAGCCTCCCCCAGCTTCAGCCTGGCTAATTAATCCCCCCTCGTGGATAGAGGCACAGAAACCAAAGGTAGGAAGCTGCTGCTGGCAGAAAACCACCCAGGCTACCTAGACAGGTTGGAAAATAGGAGAAAAATCTGGCTTTGGTATAACTTGAAGCATATTGACACTTGGAAAAGATTTGGCCATGAGAATTCTCTCTCTGTGCTGTGAAACCTGCTTGTCTGTTCACCTCTTATGTGCTATCCAGGTGTACTAATGGTCACCCACCAATTAGTGAAGTCAAAGGGACTTTCTAGAACAAAGTCACTAACTTGCATTTAGAGGAAGGTAATTAATGTCCGTTAATCCTTGGGATCTTTTTAATACAAGTTAGAAGTTTGCTGCTAACAGACTGCTGGCTTCAGATGGAGGAGTACTCCAGTTTTTCTCCATATTGGGTGTTCCCAATCAGAACATTTTCTGAAACCTTTTCGGAACTATGCTCTCTTTTTACCTAGGTTCCCCCCCCCCCACTTTCATTCGCTGAGAGGAATCTGAAAATTTCTGCTGAGTGGGGTAGATAATATCTACCCAGTTAAAAGAGGGGTGATTAAAACATGTTCACCTGTCTGCTGTTCCCCTTGTCTGTAGCTAGACTGGGCCAGTGCTTTAAAAAAAAAAAAAAAAAAAAAAAGTGGTGAAGTCTGCCTGCTCTTTCGGGGAATACCTTCTACAAGATCTCTGGGATTTAGATGAGCTAGATGATTCACAGAGGTGGGCTTAACACTGAGATCTTGAGGGTGTGCCCATTCAATCTTGTTTGTTCATGCAGGCTTGAAGACAGATCTCCCATCTCAGGTATTCTTAGTGGTGACCAACAGTAGGTTGGTCCCAATCTTTTGGGACTTTATAATTTGATTATGGGAAGATGGCAAAGCTTCAAAAATTAATTTGTAACCATTCAAGTTTGAGTTTGTTGGTTTATTTGTTTTAATTTAAATTTTATTCTGGAAATTTTCAAAGAAATGAACCTTTCTACATTTTGGAACCCTAAGGAGGTTTTTGGGTGTTTTTGTTATTTTGGTTTTTTTTTTTTTAGGGAGCTTCTCCTCCCGAATACCATCTCTGAACGAAGAGTCCTCAGTGTACACTAAAGAAAGCGTAGTTAGGGCTTAGTTTTCAGTTGCCTGCCTTTAGTGCAGAGGTATGTTTGTTTTGCATTAACAAAATTTCTATTGTAAGACTAGAGTAGCACCTGTGTAAGCACTGTTTATGGACTTCTGTTGAGGATGCACAACTTTTTAGCATCACCTCTAATTTAGGTTCTTATTACCCCATAGTGATAGATCCCTTTTTAAATTAATATAGTATGCAAAATTTGGGGCTTACGATGGCCGTCTATTCCATTCCCGAAGACCTGTTCCCTTGGGAATGTGGACTAGGAACTCTCAAAGCCCCTCCTCAGTTTGCAGGCTTCGCGGGTGAACGCACTGCTACCTTTTGGCAGTTGAAGAGGCGCTGTGTGAGGCAACCCACAGCGCCAGACCAAACGAGAAAGAACTATGCAGCCAGGAGAGGCTGCTGGGGATGCGTGGGTCATCAGGGTGGGGTGCGGCAGGCAACCTCTCCCCGCGGGCCCTTGTGTCTTCTCCAGCTCTCTTTCTTGGCCCATCTGTTCTCGGGCTGATTGTAAAGCTTTCTGGATATCTGGCTGTCCTCGCTCTCCTCCACTACTGCAAACCACGCTAGGTGCCCTTGCACCACTCTGCTCTCGCCGCCTCCCCGACCTCAAGTGTCCCCGGCCTAGTGTGACTACGGCCTCAGTGCAACCCAGGGATACTTGGCCCTGGCCTTTCCGGGATACCATGCGCCCGGTTCCTCAACCTGACCTACGGAGCTCGAAGTAGCTTCAACGCCAAGGCCCTGGTAGTTTCCTGTGTCCAACAGAGGGACTCGGGAAACCGTGGCCGCCGACTGCAGCCTGGCGCAGGTGGCGCATCTTTCTGGGCTCGCTGTGCGGCTTAATTGGGTTAAAGCGAAGCTAAACACCGAAGCACTTTGTGAAAACTAATTGATGCAACCGAGGCCCTTCCCTAATGATTTTTCACTAGGAGCAAGAGAACCACGAAAGACATTAGTCCTAGAGTGTTGCGCGGTAGTGAGGCTACGGATTTCTGGAAGGCCAGGCCAGCCGGCGTTCTGAAGCACCCACCACGCCCCGGTACAGACAGTGATTTACATAAAACTGGACTCCAGGCGGCTATTGTCACTGTGGGTTGACCGGGAGGCTTAGAATAACACTGGATTGCCTTTCTAGCTAGGGCTACCCAGATCGGCTGCTACCATGAACCCGGGAAATGAACTGCGCCTGTAGCTGAAACCATTCTGCAATCTCAACAACCCTCCTTGTTGAAGGAAAACTAAACTGCAGTAATGGCTGCTTCCTTTCCTCCATGCTTTCTTTAATTGAATTGTCCGTGGAGAGGAATTAAAATTAACGATGTATCTTTGTGTAATTCACCTGACTTTCTTTAGTCGAGGTTTTGGCATTAGATATGTTTTGTAAATTATTCAACTACTTGATATTAATTTTAATTTAAAAATCATTCGACCTATTGAATTGTTGGATGATGATGTTAATACACAAGTGGTATAAATATGTTTTATTATATGAAAAGTCTGTATAAGAACTGGATTGATGCCAGTCGATTTTTTTACATACAGTCTTATCTATAAGAAGAAAAGCTTGTATGTGCCTTGTGTTTTCACACATAAATTAAGAATTGTTTTCAGTGGTATGCATGTAGGCATCCTTGACATGAGCTAATAATAGAATGATAATTGAAGAAAAGTGACCTAATTGGAGGGAAAAGAAATACCCTAGAATCTCATGATGTAACCACTGAGATGCTTGCATGGAATGGTGTTTAGGGTCTAACTAAGGCAGCTTGGATTTAAAATATTCCAGTTAGGGAAAATAAATCCAGCAAAGACACAGCCTGCTATCATAACATCTAGCCATATTTGTGAACATAAAACAAATGTTGTGAACTTAAACACAATAGAACATCTCAAATAATAATGACAAGACAACTATTTCTGAAGTGTAGCTTCCTGAGTGACTGTCCCCGTGGGGGTGCACTTTCATGGCCTGTGCAAAGCCATGCAAGCAGTCTCCTACAAGAAGGTAAAGAAAAACTGCATTGTGTTCAGAAGTGTAGGAACCTGAGGTTTCTGGTTTGCTTTGTTTTGTTTTTTAATGACTATTTAAACTTGATTTGCAAGTTCACTGCCTTCACCAGTGGCAACCTTCTGGAAGCTCATAAGGGATCTGAGCAGTCACGCTGCTCACATGCACACTATCCTCCGTGTTTTCTTTATCTGCTAGCAGCTAGTTTAGTCACAACTGTTCAAGAACTTAAAGTTGTATTTTTTAATATGTGCTTATTACTCTGGAGACTTCAAAAGAATATGAAGTTGATTTTATCAAATTATTTATCTCTACTGCTGGAGTGGCTTTGAAGGCTCATTGTATGCATCTGATTTCTTCCCTTCTCTCTTTTCTAAAAATGTACCCAGGCTACTTTAACTGTTTCTGTCTGCCAGACACAATATATTCTCCCCCTTTACACTAGAGAAATTAAAGACAGATATTTGTGCATGGTTTTCTTTACCCGTCGTATTAAATAAAGTAAAACAGAGGAAGTTTTTCTGGTAATTTGATGGCATCTATCTAATCTTTCTTCCTATTGTGACTTATGCTATAAAAGCACTTAAACAAAATAGCTTGAAATTTCAGGGATTTCTTAAAGTCATTATTTCCTGTTTGAAAATCAGATTCATTACAAAGTCAGGCAGGAGATTAAGGTCACTGTTTACATGTCATAGACCTGTTCTGTTTCTTCAGTCTGAGCACTCTAAGAATGGAGGTTAATTTTTAAAAATTTCTTGAATGATGGAGTCATGGCCTTAGTGTTCTTTGTTACCCTAGTGCAAGTCACATGGTCACATTTGTAGTGGGAAATACTTTTTTCCTGCACTATTGCTGAGTGTTACCATTATAAGTGTTGAAAAGAAAAGTAACTTAGAGACCAAAGATGCGAGTTGTAAGTAGAGTTCTAAGGATCACTACTCCTGCTTGATTGATAGCCAGACTTTTCTTTTTATAGATAAGGGAGTTAAAAGCCCAGCTTTTGTATGTAACCCTCTCAGTTTTCTCTCTTCATTTGAATATGTACATAGAGGTGCAGGATATTTCATCGTTGTTTCTGTAAATTGGGGCAGGGATGGGGAAGAAAAGTTTAGGAAAAACTCATCAATGAAAAGAATTTGTTACTGTCCATGATGAATTGTGTCTCTGATTTCTTCCAAGAGTCTTTGGACAATGGGATTTGCATTCACTTGAGTATCATGGAATGATGATATCTCTATCCTTCCTCAGAACCCTTGGTAACATCCCCAATATCAGTATGACAAAAGTGAAATTGTTTTTGTTAAATTTCAGCTTGTATTCTTTACTCAAACATTACAGAAATAAGCAGATAGGATAATTGGGCTCATCGCTTCATTTTTTCTTTCTGTATGAACAAATAAAAGACAAGGGCCCCCCAAAAAATAACAAACATGAATTTACAGAATTTTATGTATGTGATTGCAGCCCCAGTGCTGTGAGTAGGCTGCATTTTTTATTGCTCTTAAAGAAAACAGTGGAACCAGGTGTGATTAGCTTGTTAATCTAGGGCTGCACTGCTGTTATTATCACTTCATACTGTGCATGATTAAGCCACTGAAAATATTCAGCATGACCTTGAGACTACAACATGGTTTCTAACTAACCAGTAAGTGCTTATCTAAAATAATCTCTCCCTTTTGTTATTTAGTGTTTGGTTTTTTTTCGGGTTTTTTTGTTTGTTTTGTTTTGTTTTTTATGAACAAAGCATGCCTATAAATTGGGCTTTATTGTAATTTTCAGTAATTATTAACTGAAGAGCTAATTTAAAATAATTATATCACAGAAAATGATCACCTCTTACCTCGTTTTGGTGTCAAATATTTTGCAGAAACGGGGACA